TACATGAATTTCGACCAAAAATCGGGTTGCCAGATTTGGATGCCATATTGCTCTAGAGGCCAAACCATTCACAAAAAGACAAACCTTTTGAAAATCGGATGAGATTTGACCAAGTTATGGAGGTTGGAAACTATGACCTATGTCTATATAGGATATTTGAGGGTATAATTTTCACATGAAATTCGACCAAAAATCGGGTTGCCAGATTTGGATGCCATATTGCTCTAGAGGCCAAACCATTTATAAAAAGACAAACCTTTTGAAAATCGGATGAGATTTGACCAAGTTATGGAGGTTGGAAACTATGACCTATGTCTATATAGGATATTTGAGGGTATAATTTTCACATGAAATTCGACCAAAAATCGGGTTGCCTGATTTGGATGCCATATTGCTCTAGAGGCCAAACCATTCACAAAAAGACAAACCTTTTGAAAATCGGATGAGATTTGGCGGAGTTATGGAGGTGGGAAATAATGTCCTTTTTCTATGTAGGATATTTGAGAGTACAATTTTTACATAAATTTCGACCAACAATAATTCTGCCAAAATTAAGCTCATGAAAAAAATCGTTGAATTGCACTTTCGATCACGATAAATAGTTTAATATATAGAGATATAAAAGTAAATTTGTAAATTTGTTACCACAACAAATTTTTAAAAAAGGGCGTTGATGTTAGAATCTTTATTGAAAAGACTAGTTTTTATGAAAATCTTTAAAAGTGTTTTGTGTACTTACCTTAAAACCACTTGTTGTTTGTGATGTGATCAATTCGTATTTTGTGTTATATAACAAATGTACTTGATGTCCAGCAGTTGTTACTCCTTACTCTCTTTAGTATTGTTGCTGAAGTGCCATCTCGCTCTCTCTCACATGTGGTCTGCTTACTTTCTTTTAAATGTGTTAATGCATATTAATTCGCAGCCCTTAGCTGGGTTACCGTGCAACTTCAACTGAAGCCCAACTGCAAAGCGCTGCTCTTTTTATACTGTTGACTCTTCTTCTTTCCACCGTACTTGTTGATCCGGCAGTTGTCGTTACTCCTTACTCTTATTAGTATTGTTGCTGAAGTGCCATCTCGCTCTCTCTCACATGTGGTCTGCTTAATTTCTTTTAAATGCGTAACTGCATATTAATACGCAGCCCTTAGCTGGGTTACCGTGCAGCTTCAACTGAAGCCCAACTGCAAAGCGCTGCTCTTTTTATACTGTTGACTCTTCTTCTTTCCACCGTACTTGTTGATCCGGCAGTTGTCGTTACTCCTTACTCTTATTAGTATTGTTGCTGAAGTGCCATCTCGCTCTCTCTCACATGTGGTCTGCTTAATTTCTTTTAAATGTGTAAATGCATATTAACTCGCAGCTCTTAGCTGGGTCATTTTGCAGGTTTAACTGAAGCTCAACTGCAAAGCGCTGCTCTTTTTATACTGTTGACTCTTCTTCTTTCAATCGTACTTGTTGATCCAGCAGTTGTCATTACTCCTCACTCTTCTTATTATTATTGTTCCTGCACTGCCATCTCGCTTCCTCTCACATGCGATCTGCTAACATGCCTTTAAACACGTGAATGCATATTAATACGCGACCCCTAGCAGTGCCACCTTGCAAATTCAACTGGAATTCCATTCCAAAGCGCTGCTCTATTTATACTGTTGAATCTTCTTCTTTTCACCGTACTTGTTGATTCGGCAGTTGTCGTTACTCCTTACTCTTATTAGTATTGTTACTGAAGTGCCATCTCGCTCTCTCTCACATGTGGTCTGCTTACATTATTTTAAATGCGTAAATGCATATTAATACGCAGCCCTTAGCTGGATCACCGTGCAGCTTCAACTGAAGCCCAAGTGCAAAGCGCTGCTCTTTTTATACTGTTGACTCTTCTTCTTTCAATCGTACTTGTTGATCCAGCAGTTGCCATTACTCCTCACTCTTCTTTTATAATTGTTCCTGCACTGCCATCTCCCTTCCTCTCACATGTGATCTGCTTCCGTTCCTTTAAACACTTAAATGCACATTAGTACGTAAGCCTTTACACGACTGCCTTGCAGCTTCTACTGAAGCCCACCCGCAAAGCGCTGGTCTATTTATACTGTTTACTCTTCTTCTTCCTTAAGTGGTGAACAAATATTGTCTGCTGATCTCTTCTGCAACTATCACCTTCTCGCTCGCTCTTATATCCTTGCTAGATACATTTTCGGTCATTTCTTGTTTTCTTAATTTTGATTTCTTTAGGCCAAAGTAGTTGCGCCTAATCAATTTTATGGCTTCGGTATCCAATTTTTTAACTTTATTGGCAAAATTAAAGCTTCAACTGGAAATAGGAATATATTAATTATGGTATGCCTTGTAAAGGCATAAGCTGAAGTATATAAGTTGTATGAAAGTAAAAAGCAAGAGTAAATTTATATGGTGTCAGCGAATACCATAGGGAACAAAATTTAAAAAAGGCCTCGGAGATATGCCAATATTCATTTCGGACTATGTCTATATGGGATATTTAAGGGTACCATTTTTATACCATTTATACAGAACTAACTGCCAAATTGATTTAGAGGCTTGGAAATTAATTCGGAAACATCACCTATCTTTGACGCCCATTTCCACAAAGGAGGAATGCATTTTTAGAAAATGAATTTGAACAAATATCTTCGAAATTAAGTTTGACGCCGATCGGACGGTGAACAAAAATGTTTCATATAAACGTTTATTGCGATTTTTCCACACATGCGGGTGGAATTTCACGAAACCCCGTCCTAAAGTGCACCATTATTGCGTCAATCAATTAGTTAGCCAGGACAAACAGTTTTATACATAGAGATGTAAACATGTATACGATTAGACAGAGAGTGGAAGCAGAGAAATGTAGAACACAAGTTAGCTAATTAGAGTGAGAGTAGGAGCAGGGATACAGTTTATTAGATATCCCTATACAACACGTTGAAACAACAATTATAGTCAAAGCGTGAAAGACAGTAGAAGTCACTAGAATTCATGAGAATCGCAAAGCAGGGCAATATATAACAAAATACTCTGCGCAGCGGTAAGTGAAATTCGTTTTCGCGTGGCATTTGATAACATACATATACATATTTATAGAGCCACACACACAGATCCACATACATTCATACACACACTGGGGAGATGTGATTGCCATGCTACATACATGGATTTAGTTTGGATGGGGCAATCCATTAAACTAGAAGCGACCACGTTGGACGTTTTATAATTTATCAAAATGAGAATTGATGTGCACTGCACAGCGTTCAAGTATTTGTCATTGGCTCCGGCTCTGGCTCCGGCTGCGGCGCCAAGCTCCTGCAGCGCATTCCGCACGCTTCAACCTGGGCGACTGCCGAGCTGCACCTCTAGGCGCATCCCTTGAGACCAAGTGGCCGCATGCCACACGACATGCCGTCGTAAATACCAAAAATGCTTCGGCAAATATTTAGCTGCACTCTTAGTGACACGCGCGCGTGTTTACCCCCTTAAGCTCCAAACTTGACTCCACGACAAGGCGAACGGAACGGGAACGGGTGCAGCTTTAAGTTGGCTGCATTTCAATTGTTGTGCGGCTTGTAGTTAAGTTTGTTGTGCTCCGGCTGGGGTTTGGGTCCAGACGCGTCCAGTTCGTGACTGCCGTTTCTTTATTTACGCTTGCATTTTCATTTGTGCTGTAAATAGCATTAAAAATAATTTCCCGGCTTAAAATGCATTACACACAGCGCTGACAGCCGACGGCTTATGCACTTAATGAAATGTACACGGCAATTGTCGTGCTAAGGAAAGACACGCGCACACACAGGCACACACGGCATATGAAGATGGCAGCGTCTGCGGCTTTCAGCTCTGGCCAGGCCATAAATTGGGCCAACTTAAATTTCATTTCGCACATGCTGTGCAGCCAGCAAATCCACATTAAACGCTTTTCCCAGCACATTCTACGTGCCTTCAATTCGACAAGTGGGCAAAGGATCTGAAAGGTGTGAGGGGAGGAGCCGCCCATTAAATGGCATATTATTTTGCACTTAAAGCAATTTAAAGCTGAATAAGCTTATTCTTTTATTATTATTATAATTATTTATTTATTTTATTTATTATATGTATGTTATTTATTTTATTTAGGGTATTAATTTTATTTACTTTATATTTATTATTTTATACATTTGGATTATTTTATTTATTTTATTTAACTTCTTTCTTTGTCATTAACTTGTAGCACTGTTCAAATTCAATTTTAATACTTAATTTTTCATACGATACATCTAATTAATAAGCCGTCAGATCCAGGTATTACTTTGTATTTTATTAGGGCAATTTATGCAGCTGATTTAATTCAAGTACTTTGCACACTCGAAAAATCTAATCTTAATGGCAGTCAATGGCTCGGGTCTGAGCATTGGCTCTTACAATTATGACCAGAGCAATTTGTGAAAATTATTCAACCGGCCATATAATAATTAAAGCTTTGCTTATAACACATTTATTTGACTGCTAATTTAAACATTATGCGCAATTATTTTAAACGACTGCGTTTAGGCCAGAAACCAGTTGGAATCTGGAAGCAAAAATAATAATATTTAAATGGCGTAACTTGTTAACGAGACATGACCAGAAGATGTTGTGGTGCGGCTGCAATAATAAATCAAAATTAATTTATCTTGGCTAGAAGTGAATGCGTTCGGTAGCCAAAGGAATTTTCAATTACGTTGCAGTGCACAAAACAAAATGTCGAAATTAGTTATTAAACAAAGTTTTGCGACAGTCGATGCACAAAGCCCAGAGACAGTTAACTAAGCAATGGAAATTACAAAGCCAGCTGCAGACAAGGATAAGAACAACAGGAAACGAGTGGCCATGCCGACGTAATTAAATATTCAGGCAGCCAAATGAGCTCGGACAGGAAGAGGGCCTCAACGAAACTGGCCAACAATTGGCTGGGAAAGCATTTGGCTAATCTCAAGTCAGTTCCGGCCTTCGGGGCAACAACAATGCCAATTCACTTGAACGTAACAATTTTAATAGACATCGCTAGCAGGCAGTCTTAATTTGAACAGGAGAACATCAAAATGCATAACATAAATTAGCTTCAAATACCGGATGAGATCTACATATCTGTGGCCTAGGTATTTCTTGGCGCCGGCTGCTCCGCCGCGTCCTTTCCCAACTGCTGATCCTCTTTCGCAACTGTAGGGTCTCCAGCTGCTATTGTCACTGACTGTCGAACGGAAGGGACATCTGGCAATAAATTCATTTCGGCCATAAGCTTTTGGTAACAGTGATGATCTTTGCCGAAACCCGGCTCGACTTCTGCTGGTTCTTGTAATTCTTCGAAGCTGCTCCTCGATGTGGCCATGGAGACCCGTGAATCCGGTGATCCTAAATTGCTTCGGGCAGAGGCTTCACCAGGACATTCCGCAAACAAGCAGCTCTCCATGCTCGGCATCGTCTCGTCCTTAATGCTGACCTCCGAGCTGATCATGTCGCCAAATTCCTGGGCAATAAGGCGACGAGCCAGCGGCACCGACAGAAACTCCTTGTAGTGCAGCTTGCGACGACGCTCGAACTCCAGGCGACGCACCTTCTCATCCACCGATTCCGGAAAGTCTTCGTCCACCGACGAATCGTCCGAGTCGGCATCGATGCCAAAAGCCGGCGTCTCAGATTGTGCGGCCAGGCGCAGCTTCTCCATCAGTGTGGTCGTATCCAGATCATGCGGCAAGTCGTCATCAAACACAAACGGCGTCTTTGGCTCATCGATAATCATGTGGCCGTAGTCCTTGTTGGCCGGATGAAAGGTCGCCAGTACATTCATCTCATCGAACTTGGCCGTCTTCAATATAACAGTGTCACCTAGATTGGCCCCAACCTTCAATATGCCCCTCACACTATCATTTCCCTCCATTTGTTTTCTGTAACTACGACTAACACTACAAAATATACGTATGATGTAAATAATATTAATTATTTTCCTTGAATTTTTTAATATTTTTATAACACTTGCAATTGTGTCCTTTATAATTTAGAAACTTTTACAATTTTTGACAAGTGAGTCGCAGCCTAAACATGAAATATTTTCGTTAAGTCCTTAGTATAACCTCCTCCAAAAGATCGCCAGCTTTCGATTTAAATTGAGCCCGCGATAGCTTCACGATACACTTTTAAATTTCGAGAGCCCGCGCCTGATTAATCCCTCGTTGGTTGGATGTCAAGCACTTTATGGGCGAGGAGGGGCATCTAGTCGTTGGCTGCAATCGCTGCCATCAGACCGCAAAGTAAACTCATTTTGACGTGTTCATCATCGGCAGCTGCAGCCATCGGCTATAGAGAGAAGCTGAGCGAGTTGGAGCAGCGCTTTATTATTGACCCGGGTTTCTATACCCATGCAGAGGGTATTATAATTTTGTCGTGAAATGTGTGACGCATAGAAAGAGACATCTCCGACCCCATTAAGTATATTCTTGATCAGTATCAACAGCCGAGTCGATATAGACATGTCCATCTGTTCATCTGTCAGTCTCTCTCAGTTTTAAAGCTATCATTATGAAACTTTGCAGAAGTGCTTCTTTCTGTCGGAACCAGCTGGTTCGGAAAACTATTTCATATAGCTACCATAGTAGGTTCGAACTCCCATATCATATATGTAGCTGCCATAGAAACGATCGGTCGAAATGCAGGTTATTGCATGCTAAACTATCTTATCCATATGGGCAAACCACTATGAGCATTATGAAAAGGTTTGGTCTGAAAGGGTATTAAATCTTCGGCATACCGAAGATAGCCCTTTTTTCTCGTTGTTGTTATTGATGTAAACATATTCATCATGGTATGCCAGAGAGTTGTTGCTGTTGTTCCAGAGTGGCAGCTGCCGCTTCAAAACTTTTGAGTGCACATATTTTTGCGCTGCACCGGGGAATGTGGGCAAAGAGCACATGTATTGCGAATTGATTGCAGCACATTATTTCACAATTTTGCCGGCGAATAAACAAGCGCTGGCTAGAGTCGAGTGGAAAAGGCCGGAACCGGGAGCCGGGAGCCGGGAGCCAGGAGTGCCAGGGCACTCAGGCATGCATATTACGAGCTGTTCTGCTTATCAGCTCAGCCAATGCGACAAACTGCACGATAAAACCAACGACATGATGATGATGTTGCTCCCGATGATGATGATGGGATTGATGGCACGCACTGTGGAGTTTCGGCAGCTTTCGGGTAGCTGACATTTGGCTGCCCGGACAGCTTTGATTGCTTGCCTTATGCAGAATGCAGCTATGGGCTAGCAGTCTAGTTCGATTTACGCAATTGCAGTTGCCCGATTGGATATCTTATGTAGTCACCGGAAGAACGGTGCGAGGCCCACTCCAAGCGGCAACATTTTGTGTGTGTGTGTGTGTGTATCTACGAGATACGCCAGCTACGTGCTACATAAGTAACAGCTGGGGTTAGTCTCCTGCAGCTGCAGCTGGCATCCGTTCGAGGCGCAGGGCCTGGCTCCGGCTACTTGCTGTTGCCACATATCCATGCAATTTTATGGCATCCATAAATTGCACTTGATTTTTGGCTTTTCCGCAACACAATGCAGCATCCGTTCCGAGTTCGAGCTGTTGTTCGTATCCGCCCACAAAAAACCCAATTGAAATTAGCTGTTGAGCCAATTTTGGGGCGTGTCCAGCTGTGGGTGAGAGGAGGAGGCTTTACCGGTTATGCATATTTATTAAAAACTGTCTGCTGCGATTAAAAGCCAATCAGGCCAATTGCGAATTCCTTTTATTGGCCCCAGCTTTATAAATATTTAAAATTTAATTTCGCCCAACACGGCGCTGATGCTGCTCTGGGTGTACGAATACATTTTTCTGCAGCTAGATTAAAATGTGTGTGTTTGTATTTGTGTGGCTGCGCATTTCTGCAGCAGTATCTGTAGCTCAATATGTATCTGTATACATATGTAAAGGTGTGTGTGCCAGTTGAGCTCTCAGGTGGCTCGACTCCGGCTTTGGCTGTACGGCAATCGAAGCGTGAAACGTTGAAGGCAAACACGTTGAGCGCAAATGTAGCGCGTTTCCTTCTTGGCTTTTACGCTGTACTCCCGACCGGGACAAGGACCACAGCAAGGACCACAGCCAGTGGCAGCAGAAGAGTAGAGAGCAGTACCCAGTACCCAGAACAAAAACTCCATACCCAAACACTTATGTGGGTGTGGTGTGTGTGTGTATGTGTGTGTGGCAGTTAGCTAGTGCTTGACAGCTTGGCAAACAGTTAAATAAAGTTGGCAGCTCTCCCGCTTTGTGGCCGGGTGACTGTTATCCTTGCATGGCAGTTAGCATGAGTACTTAATACTGAATGTGCACGATTTTGGCTCTATAACGAACTTTTGGCGAGATCCAACTGAAGCTCTATTTGAAAGTTTAAGGATCGCTTCTATATTTGCAAATAAAAAAGAAAATATTTTTCCCTGGCACATTTACATTTATACACACACAGAGGTGCGCGTCCATAAGCAGGCCAGCATAATTAGATTGCCGAGTTAATCTAATAAGGGTAATGTGATTATTTGTAGCTTAAATAAATTTATGAAAAACGTGTAAACAAGAGTGGCCACTATTATATGTTTTTTGTCACAATTTAAAGCTCGCATGAATTACTGAACATTTCAGGAAGTATTGTACCAGATCCCCTCCCTACTACATTATATTCAAAGTGCTTATACGAATTCTTACATTCCTTTAATTTGATAGCATTTCAATGTGATTTGTGTTTCAAGCCAAAAATACGTTTGTGCAGCCCCCCGGCATCCCAGAACCATTTTTTATAGTGTAGAGTCGGGATTTCGGATTTAGCAAGAGGGTCCACAGCTGCTGCAACAACCACCGCAAGGGCCACAGGCACTGCCGCCGCAGCAACCGAAGCAGGGTCCTGTCGCATAGCACGGACCGCAAACATTAGGTCCAAAACATCCGCCGCCGCAGGGTCCACAGCAGCCACCGCAAGGTCCACAACACATGATTGCTCTGAAAATTATATTTCGAAATTATTTAATATATTTTTCTATTTTAGCTTACCTGAAAACCAAAGCAAATTGAGACTACGAATAGAATTTAGGTGTTACTGCCTAGGCTTGATGTGTAAGAATGAGGCCTTCTGGAAATAGTCAAGTACGCCCGGGCTGAGGGGATGGATTTTTCAGAGACGACTTGATGTGTGTAAGATTCATTGAAACTGGATATTTAAATATATCCATTTGCCAATTATTTGGATAAATATTATGCCAGCTATTCACACTAAGATCAAGAAAAATGAAAGCTAAGCTTCGAATGTGCGCATTTTTAGAAATCTACTAATCCAACAGCAGAACTTATTAACTCGACTTATCGCTCGCGTACTTGCACTGCGGCAGCTGGATTTTTCTCTTGCCATTTAATTGTTGACAAAATTTCGAGTCCCATTGCAATTTCAGGGCACACAATAGAGCGCTAATGAATATGAATAACAAGAAACTCGAATGTGGCGACACGCACACAACTTGACAACAACAAACAGGCAAACAAACAGACAGAGAGACAGTTGGACAGGCATACAAAGCACTCGGAGCCGGGGACAAACTACTTACTTACTTACGAGTACTTTTGCCCACTTATGTGGGGCAACGGCAAACAAAGTTATGCGGCAAGTTGAGCCATTTGTTGTTGTTATTGTCCGCACTATGCAACTGTCTTTTCGCATAATGTCGCTGGTTGTTAAAGTTGCCTCCTTTTTTGCGCTGTGTAGTGCACAACTCACATAAATTACGCGCCAGCAAAAGTCACAGAATGTCAAATGCAGCAAACAAAAAAAAAAAAAGAATAGTATAAGAGACAAGAAAAACTAAAATAAACGAAAAGGCAACCAAATTGCAACGACTACACAAAAAGTGCAGCAAAAGTAAAAATGACGATTGCCCGCGGCTGAGTCATCGTTGGAGGCCCAACTCTAGGGCCAGTGCTCCACAGTTTTGGCAGCTTTACGCCAGGAAATGCAACCAATTTGTAGGAAGCGTCTGCACCTCCTTTGTCTCCCTGGCCGTGGGGTTTCGTGGTTGTGGCCAGACTCGCGGCTCGATATGGCCTTCAAAACTGACAGCCAAGCGACAGCAGCCGTGGGCTCCAAAAAATACACGCACACAAAAAAACTAACTATGATTTATGGCACAGGAAATCGCAATAGAAAGTTTGCCAGCAGTGCGAATATGCCGCCAATTAAATTGTTGAAAATATTAAGAGCTTGCATAGAGATTTCGCATGTAAGGAACAAGAACAGGAACAGGAACAGGAAAAGACGACTGTAGGGAGCTCAAAATGCGATAAAATATTTTATATATTAAAAGTGAAAAAGTAGGTTAAACACTTCTATGTTTTAATCATAATATTAATATAGATTTAAATATTGAAGAATTTCTTATAAGCAAATCAGCATTAGGTGAACTTTACTTTGTAGCTGTCCTTTATTTTCTTGCATATAGATTGCGCATGTCAATATTTATTTCAACATGCGAAGTGAAATATTAGGTTAAAGACTTTCATTTTTTGATCATAATTTTAATTTATTAATCATAATTATTATATATTGAAGAATTAAAAAAAAAAAAAAGAAATCATAATCATAATATTGAGATAGATTTATTTATTATAGACTTTCTTATAAGAAAGCTTTGTACAAGTCCTTTATTTTCTTGCATAAGGATTTCGCATGTCAATATTTATTTCAATATGCGATTGTTTATTAAAAGGAAATTTTATTAAAATAAAATTCTTGATATTGATTGAAGAATTCCTTATAAGATAATCTGCTTTAGCTGTGCCTAATTTTATACCCGTCCGTTTTGTTCATCTGCCCTTATAAACTTCTCAGTTTACAGTTGGAGCGAAAGTATGCTGCCTTATAAATTACAAAGTTGCCGGAAAATAAACGAACCGAAATCGTACATCGACTTGGAAAACTCATCGAATATTTGGTTTATTTTTTTGTTGTTGTTATCTTGGTAGGCGAGCGTAATGAAACTGGAAATAAAGGAAAAGAGCGCAACCAGAAATCATGCAAATGAGTTTAGCAACAGAAATATCTGGCCCGGGACAATGGCCGTTAGAATTCTCCGGGTCAGCCGTGCTATAGTGGAAATAATGGTCATGAAATGAAAACGAATCAGGGCAATTCACCATCCGCCAGCCAAACAGACAGACAGACAAGGAAACAAGCCGAAAAAAAGGGCATTCAATGATGAAGATGACGATGAGCATGACGATGATGATGATGATGACGAGGACGTGGATGTGGATGAGTCTGATGCCGGGCTAGATGTTGGATGCGATGCGATGCGTTTGCGTTTGCGTCTGCCATGCAGCTGGGCGTGAAAATGCAATTTACTGGCCCCGGCTGAAGGCTCAGGATCAACAGGAATTGGAGTGGGAGTGGGCGTGGGCGTGGGTATGGGCGTGGGACGATGTGAACCTTGTTTAAGGGTAACTGCAGCAAACAAAAAGCTAGCCACAACAATTGTAATTAAAAGCTGCGCTAGCCAAAATGATAAATATCTCTGGCAAAAGCAAAAAGCGCTTTGGCAAAGAGTAAAACAAATACAACAACAAAAAGTTTTTTACTTTTACTTTTTGCTTTGTCTGGCCGTCTAGCTGTTTGTTACTTTTCACACGCGCACCTCTCCCCTCCCCCCCCACCCCTCTGACGCCCCATCATCCCAGTAAATGGCCGGCCTGGGAGCTGCCATAATACAATTTATACGACAACACTTTAGTGCAAAGTTTATGCGCAGTGTTTACAACGTGCCATAAAAGCCGGACAATGCATAAGGCAGGCGTGGGGCCAGCTGGCCGGAGGATTAGGGCAACGGTTGGCTATAATGTAACCCGTAAATGTACTCGTCGTCGTCGTCGTCCTCCTGCTGCGCTGCGGGTGCGTAACAAGTGCAGCACACGGCCCGCATAAGTAGGATGATATTGCTGGAGCGTAGTCGCAGTCGGAGTTGGTTCCGGAGTTCATTGGCGTCTCGGGCGAGCACAAGTTGTCGCCCTGAATTGACAGCCAGTAAAAATTAAGTAATAAACTAACTTTAACACAGGTTTCGTCTTTCTCCTCTGTTATGGCCAAAACACAAACAGTTGTGGCAACAACAAATGTGCTCTGCTGCCATAATCCGGACATTGTCTGGCAGCTTGTAAACATTTAACTGAAGTGATATTCGAGCTTTGGCCACAACTTTAATGCGTCCCAAGCAGGCCAATTGATAAGCAAAGTGTGCTGAAAATATGTCGGCGAGCTGTGAAATTAATGCGCCACATAATGGTGAAAATAATTTAACATCACACTAGATGAAGTTACCCGGCCTTGCCCAGATCGAATGAATAATGTTGAAAATGCAATTCAGGCAAGTTAAAAAAGTTAAATAGTTCACGCTATTGAATTTGAATTTAAGCCAGCGACTGCTCGTTTTCATTGCCAGGGCTTGATTTTATACCCTGAAAAAGGGTATAATGTATTTGTGCAACGATCTACGATCCCATAAAGTATATACATTCTTGATCAGCATCAGCAGCCGAGTCGATCTAGCCATGTCCATCCGTCTGTACGTCCATCGGTATGTATGATCGCAAGGATCTCAAAGTGTATACGAGCTAGAGACTTGAAATTTGAGCTAGACTCACCAAACTTAATATGTTGCTTCTAGAATATTATATATTTATCAAGTATTTACGCTACTACCTCATAGCTTTAAGTCAATTTATACTGTCCATCAATTTAAGCCACAATTTAAATGTAATTGACTTTTTTGGAGTATACAAATATTGTTTGCATTTGGTGTTGGAAGAAGAGGGGCTCAGGGTATCCGCTAGACGGGAGCTCCCGACTAGTGCTTCTTACTTGATTGAAATAAGTTGACGACTTTTTCCAACCTGGAGCTCGACTTTTCCGAAACCCAGTACTCTCTCTCTTTAAGTACTCACTTTGGCTTTAGTTTATGTCAGTTTTATATATATAGTTAGCCCATCAGCTTCTCACTCATATCAGATGCTAAAATGAACTAAACTCCTATTGAACTACTTTCTATGGCTTTGCGCCATCGAGCAGCTGCACAAACTGTTTACTTTGTTGATGCTCTACACATTCAATTAGTGTTATATAATTTAGAGCGTAATGAAATGAGATAATTATATAGTTAATGGAAAATAGAAATTTAATTAAAACAAACAGCAAAACGCCAATGGCTGCTGCGAGTCAGTTTCAGCCGTTTCAGTCGTTTCAGTCGTTTCAGTCGTTTCGCTTTGTCAGTCAGTTAATCAATTTACAACAAAATCTTCAACCAGCCCCAGACCCAGCCGAAGCAGCAGCAGGTGCTCTGTGTGGGTGACAATTGTACTAGGCGAAACGGGAAGTTCCATTCATTCAATACCTGAGGCGGCAAACGCGGCAATCTAATTAATTAGGCAACCGGCTAAATGAAATCAACGCGAGAAAACAAAACAAATTAGAGGCAAACTGGGCGACAGACAGGGCTAATATTTGAGTGTTTGGTGGTAATAATAATGCCTAGCATAAGCAACTTTTAAGAAAATAAATTTCTAGATACAATTTGTAATCGGTGGAGCACACAAATCAATAAACTTCAATAAATTCCCCCCACGGCCAGTAAATGTTATATTCGCAGGCAATTCCTCCTCCCTCTTCCCACTCAAATCTATATAAAACTAGCCCCAGACAAACATACGCTCCATCAATTTCAATAACACACACAGGCTAATCAAATCGCCGGAGAGCTCAACTCAAATACTGCCACGCGCCTCGCTTAATTGCTATCAATTTATCCACTCAAAGTGCCACAAAATACACAGCCCAAGTTGCCGTGCTGCTGGGAAACACATCTCTATATATATTTTTTGCTCTCTCATTTTCATAAATTTACGTTAAATTGACTTTGTGACGCGCAGCGCATCAGAATTTAGACACTTGTGACTAATTTGCAACACATTTCCCTCCAAACTTTGGCACACAAAAGAAAAAAAATATTAAATGGCCAAAACGGAAATGACAAAAATCACAAAAACCAACGCCCGAAACTTCCTTAACAAAAAATAGAACAAATACTGCAAGTGCACTTGGTGTACCGACTATTAAAT